GTTGCTATTAATGCTATTAATATTATTTTAAAATATTTTAAAATATTATTTTTTAAAAATCGAAAGCATTCATAGGGCCAAGCTGGAGAAGAACCTGAGTCTCTCAGAAAAGTTACATGGAACAGCAACACAGAGGCATAATAATTGTGAAAATATACTTTGCCATTATCTGCGTATGACAATGAATTCTCACCTTTGCTGTTTTAATAGCTAATTTGACCTATTTGAATCATTGCTCACTATATTTTGCCTTATCCAAAACTACCTGCATTGACAAACCTTTCCTTTCCAGCAAACCAAGAATAAAACTGTATTCTTCCAGCAGCAGTACAATACAAAGTGTGCAGGTGAGGCTTCTAAACAATATAGCTAAATTGTAACCTGCAACTCTCCAGAGGATAAACATAATTTCTTTCTGCGGTCACCTAGTATTTTTCTCAAGTGGAGTACAGAAAATATCATTCATCAGTGTGTAGTTTTGCTTCAAGCAGAATTATCATTCTTCTCCCATAGCTTTTTTCTCAATGGAATTGTCTTCATCAACAATGTGAGTGAGTTACATCCTAAAGTTTAAGACTAAGCCAATGCTTATGTCAGTTCCAATTTGTACCATGCTTATATTCTCACAACTGTTTTATACTGAGATTTGCAATAGGTATTGCAGATATTTGGAACAAACAAAGATTTGAAATTAAATATTTCATTAGAATTTTAACAAACCATGTTGTGGATCACTCCTTCAGAAACAGTAGTTTGGGAAAGCATCTAGGGGCTGTCACAAAAAATGAGGGAAATTACATATACAGAGGCATCTGTAACAAGCCATGATAGCAATACAATGACATAATTATGTGATGACACATCTGATACAATTAAATAAATGGTATTACAGTGCATTTGGAAAGTATTCAGACCCCCTTCACTTTTTTCAATTTTGTTATGTTGCAGCCGGCTACTACAATCGTTCAAATCCATTTTTTTCTCATTAATCTACACTTAGTACCCCATAATGACAAAGTGAAAACAGAATTTT